ACTGTAGTTTCGACACCAGTTTTAAATAACTTATTAAAACATGTATTTATCACAACTCGCGCGACAATCCCATCTTATCTTGTTGTAAAAAACGATTTGGAATGAGATCGTAAAATTTCAAATTATGTATCGGGATTCCCGACAGGATTCCCGATTTGGGAATCCTGATTCAGGCTGAACTTATCTTGAGATGGCCATTTCTGTGGCTGCTAACTGCCGCGTTTGCATATGATCGCCAAAATATTAGATACTGTAATCAGATTATATATATATATTAGTATTACTTCTCGTGTCTTCGTCTGTTAGACGCCACAAAAGCGAACATTTAGCTCCCCATAAGCACCCCAGACGCGTCTGAGCGGCATCTACTGGCACGGGACAGCCCCAGTTTTACTGGATGTCTGGATCCGAGTTATACAGAAAGGAGAAACCACACGTATTTTTAATACACAGTTGTAGAAGAATACTAAAATAAACACCTGCATCTGCATGTGCTAAGAACGTTTATTTTTAGGTATTACGCCTTTCGTGTGCTTGTGGGATGGTAGTAATCGATGATCCCAACACCGTACATACCGCAGAAACTGCGGCAGATTGAGTGGTGACACTTCCCAATTCGCCGAGATCGACACACAGGCACTCAAGTCGAGCGAGAATGTTAGGTGGTTCAGGGAAAACTGCATCGAGCGGGCAGGACGCCGACACCAACCTCAGCGTCATAGAGATTTCGGATGCAGAGACTTCCAGTTCCACAACACACTCGGAGGGCCAGACATTAATCGGACATACAAATAACCACTCACAACTGTCGGATGAAAAAACTACTACAGCTATACCAGCAGCGCAGAATGGCGCGGCTAAAGTCTTGTTCTTTGACGGCGTTCGCGGCCTTGCAGCCATTCTGGTCGTCATTCACCACTCAAAGGAATACCCCACCGACAAACTTCACCTCGGGGCAGTGGCTGTAGACACATTCTTTGTGCTGTCGTCGCTCCTGTTGACCTGGCTTTTCATGAAAAAGAGCATGAAATTGTTGGCACAACACGCTGGAGCTCGAACGTGGACGATCGCATTGTTGGACTACTTCCAGAAACGATTCTTTCGAGTGTACCCGCTGTTTGCAGTGACCGCGATCGTACTGGCCTGCGTGTCGACTGAGAACCAGCAAAATTTTAACATCAGTAGGCCCGAAGACTACGATCTGGGCAAGGTGCTGATGTTTTACACTGGGTACCGTTTTCACGTGTTTTGGACGTTGCCACTGGAGATTGGATACTACTTTGTGCTTCCAATTTTTGTCGCCGTTGCGTTGGGTCTGCGTCGTTTCTGGTGGCTTGGAGCTTTACCATTGTTCGTCTGGATCCTACACGAAGGCTTCTATGCGTATCGAAACCATCACATGCCCCTCCTTCCTCATCTCCATACTTTCACGATGGGCTCAATGGGAGCTGTGATCTACGTGAAGGCGGATTTGTGGATCAAAGAGACGAAGTTTAACTTCCTGTGGTGGCACACGCTTGCTCTCAGAGTAGTTGAAGGTTTAGCCGTTGCTGTAATGATGAGCGTGTGCTTCGATGGCTTATTCTTCGATTGGATCTACGCGGATCCTATACCCGCGGGCCCGGGATTTCCCTTTGTTAGCGTGGAGATGACAGTAATTTTCGTGATTGAGATGATCCGTCCGTCCTGCATCTCGACGATGTTTGAGTGGAGTGTGCTGCGATACTGGGGCAAGATCAGTTTCTCGGTCTACTTGCTGCACTGTTTCATCATTTATCACCCGTCGATCATGCAAGAGAAGAAGTTTTTCAACCGGTTCTTCGCACGATTCGGTCTGGTCCTAGTGCTGGCGACGGTGAGCTATCACCTTATTGAGCGTCCGTCGCAGTTGCTGGCCCAGAGAATCTCACGTCTCCTCGCTGCTCAAGACGTAGAAGACTTGAGAAGACAAAAAGTGCCAGTGGAGGAGAAGTAGAATTTACTACGTAGTATGTAGAATGTACTACGTGTACGAGTGAGAAGGGAATCAAAACGAATACTTGTATACTGCTTTTATTTCTTTTTCAATACTGTACGAATAAAAAGAGAAAACAATTCTTGATTGACATTTTTTTCTAGCCATCTTTGTATAGTTTTTCATTCTACCACAATTCAAGGTGTCGTGGTATCAAACTGACTTAAGGCGCATCATGAGAGGATCCATCATGCCCAACGAAATACCCTGCGTGTAGGCGACATTCTGACCAGGTTCGGGGACCATCTCGAAGCGGGCGACAATGCTGGCAATCACAATTTTCGTCTCAACGAACGCCAAGTTCTGCCCAACGCAGATACGTGGACCAGCGCTAAACGCTGCGAACTTGGTCGCAGTCATCGGGATGATCTCGCCCGTCTCGCTGTCAATGAATCGCTCCGGCTTGAACTCGAGCGCGTCCTCGCCCCAGACGCTGGTGAGACGTCCGCAAGAGAAGAGCGCAATACCGATGTCCGTGTTCGCCGGCACGAACGTGCCGTCTGGGAAGACCGTATCTTTGATGCAATGCGTGGTGATCAACGGTCCAGGTGGGTACAGACGCAGCAGCTCGCGGATGCAAGCCTCTAGGTACGGCACCTTGTTGATATCCTCCACTGTCGGAGTGTAGTGCCTGTCGGTGCTGAGCTTGGGGATCTTGGCGAGGACCTCTGCTCGTAGCTTCGCCTCCGCGTTCGGGTTCTGGCTGAGCAAGTGGAACAACCACCCCATACAATCGGCCGTAGTATCGCGGCCGGCGATGATCGACGCGACAGCGATGTTACGCACTTCGACGGGGTCCACGGGCATGCCGCGGGACTCCATGTTGTCAAGCACAATGGACACAATGTCCTTATCGGCAAGCGCTGCAGGACGACCGGCCTTCTTCTCTTCAACACGGCGACGACGACGCTCAATGGCGTCAGCGATGATGCCCATCAAGTGCTCGTCGATTACGCGCACGTTCTCCTTGAGCTTCTTCTCATCGCCCACATTGAGCCAGCGACGCAGCTTCCAGTACCACATCGGCTGTTTGAAGCGCTTGCCGGCCAGGAATTGAGCCTCATCCATCGCCTCGGCGAACGGCTGGAAGGCTCCGTCCATGGAGCCCATCTTAGCGCCGAAGCCGATCTCGCCGAACACGTCGAACGTGTATCGATGCAGCAGATCGAACACGTCCAGTGGGGTGTCTGTGGCCGCCGCGTTCGCCAAGATATCGACGAGCTGCACGGTGTACTTCTGCACGAGCGGCGTCATGTGCTCGCGCAACGCACGGGCGCTGAAAAGGCCGACGACGACGTTGCGTTGCCGCTTCCAGGTCTCGCCGTTGGTCACCACGATGCCGTCGCCCAGCATATCGCAGAACACGTCGTGGATGTATTCGCTCTTCGGGAAGATATCGAACTGCGTCTTGAGCACGGCTTCCAGGTGCTCGGGTTTAGCGATGAACATCATGTCGTCCTTGCCAGGAAGCCGCACGATGAACGCCTCGCCGTTTGTGGCGGCGAACTGGTCGGCCAGCCAGTCGTGCATGCGCGGCGCATTGGCCGCTAGCTCGACAGCGTTGCCCAGCACAGGGAGTGTGCCCGGCAGGATGACGGCGTGCTTAACATTATCACCCTTCGCTTTTGCTGAGCACTTGCTGGCCTTGGTCCAGTAGAGCGTGACGAGCAGTGCCGCCGTGACAAGACCCGGCACCACGGGAGACTTGAACATGGACTGCAGCATCCTGGAGACTGAACGAGCGGCTGCAACTGATCCGGTCGATTGCGCTGTGTCGGCCGGTCCAGACAAACGACGCAGCAAAGATGCTGGTGGTGGCCTAAGATCACGGCCTCCGATAAGGCATCTCTACCGAATTGTAGAGGGAACCTTCCTCGTCGGGTTGTAAGGGTATGCCACGTACGCCATGAGATTTGCGTTTTGCAATCTTCAGGCACGCGATGGCGTCACCAACGGAATCTGCCACGGACCGTACCTGGTCGAAGAACCCGACCTCCACCATGGCGTCCATGCCGGTAGAGTGTGTTCCTGGCAGTGGTGCTACTGGTAGACTTGATTGAGGTCGTAGAACCGGACTACCTTACGGATATTTTATGGTTTGCATTGATCACTTCAACTTGGTAGTTCGTGGTCGTGAAGATCGACCAGCTACATATCTATAGTTACGCATAGATCGCAGTGCCTGCTTTACACTACGCTGCAACACCACTGTCTTGTGATGCAACGGTCTCGACGCGCATCATGAGCGGAGTCTGCATGCCCAGAGTGATGCCCTGCGTGTACGCGGGCGTCGGCTGGTTGGGCTCCGGTACGAGATGGAAGCGGCTCACAATGTTGGCAATAACGATCTTCATCTCGAGGTACGCCAGGTTGCGCCCCACGCAGATGCGCGGGCCGGCGCTGAACGCGCAGAATTTAGACGATGACACCTTGATGATCTCTCCAGTCTCAGCGTCGAGGAAGCGCTCAGGCTTGAACTCCAACGCGTCTTCACCCCAGACGCTCGTGAGGCGGCCGGTCGTGTAGAACGCGATGCCGATATCCGTGTTCTTGGGCACAAACGTGCCGTCCGGGAACACCGTGTCGCGGACGCAATGTGTAGCGATCAACGGACCGGCAGGCATGACGCGGAGCAGTTCACGGATTGTCGCCTCGAGGTACGGCACCTCGCTCAGCTCCTCCACTGTAGGAACGTACTTTGAGTCCGTGGCAAGCTTAGGCATGTGCTTCAGCAGCTCCGAGCGTAGTTTGGCCTCCACGTTCGGGTTCTCACTCAGTACGTGGAGCAACCAGCCCAAAGCATCAGCCGTAGTGTCACGCCCGGCGATCAGTGCTGCGGCTGCAATGTTACGCACCTCAACGGGGTCCACGACCTGGTTGTTCGTCTCCATGGAGTCCAGAATGATCGACACGATGTCCTTGTCTGCAGGCTTGACGTCTTTGCCTGCCTTAATGGCTTCTTTGCGTTCTTGACGGCGCTGAATCGCCTCAGATACGATGCGCATAATGTGCTCGTCAATGACGTCAATCGCGTGACGCAGCTTCTTCTCGCTGCCGACGTTCAGCCAGCGCTTGATCTTCCAGAGCGCATCCGGTTGCTTGAACCGCGCCGACACAATGTACTGCGACTCCTCGATGGCTTCAGCGAACGGTTGGTAGCGGCCTTCAAGGAGGTTCATCTCCGTGCCAAAGCCGATCTCAGCGAACACGTCGAGCGTGTAGCGGTGCATGAGTCCGAAGGCGTCCATGGGCTTGTTAGACGCCGCGGCCTCCTCGAAGATGCTGCGCAATTTCACTACATATTTCTGCGAGATCGGCGTCATGTGCTCCCGCAACGTGCGAGCACTGAAGAGGTTCACGAGCACGCGGCGCTGACGCTTCCACGTCTCGCCATTGGTGATGACGATGCCGTCGCCTAGCAAATCGAAGAAGACGTCGTGAATGTGCTGGCTCTTGGGGAAGTTGTCGAACTGCGTCTTAAGCACTTGCTCGATGTGCTCTGGTTTGGCGATGAACATCATGTCGTCCTTGCCTGGAAGACTGAGGGTGAATGGTTCACCGTTGCGCGGCACGATTTGGTCGGCGATCCAGTCGTGCATACGCTCCGAGTTGCTTAGCAGCTCCATGGCATTGCCCAGCACCGGAATCTTGGACGGCAGATAGCGGACGCGCTTGGGTACGGCTTTGCCGTCCTGTTCCTCAGCATCTTCGACTATAGGCAGTTCGGTGGTCTCGGTGGTGTAATAGACGGCGACGACCACCGCCGCAGCGATAAGTCCGGGCACCACCGGATTGAGGAGACTCAACTTGTCACCGAAGAACGACTGCAGCATGAGGTTTCGATATCAAAGGCCTTTGAGTTGAGCTGGGGACGGCCACCACCGTCGTGCGGACGAGACGGTCGTTTCCGTTATGAGCCGTGGAAGATCGACGGACGATGATCAGACTTGGCGTAGAAGTGTCGACGAACAGAGCGAGTCCTCCATGCCATCGAGTTTGCCGGGGCCAGATGGCCGACACTACGAGTGCTAAAGACATGAGGGAGGTTTTGTTGTTCTGGGAAAGGAACGTGCCTGCGAGAGTACAATGACGATGCCTGAAGTCATTTTCATTGGCAAGAAGGTGGACTTGCCAATGAGAAGGTGACAAGGTGCCCCAAGACATTGCTTCGACCTCAAACTCATACTTTCAATTACTAGAAATAAATTCGTTTTGTAAATGATAAGTGTCAGGAGCAGGGGAATTTGAATGCCTGAAGGCGCTCGGGACACATTTTTCAATGATAACAAAGGAAAAAAAAACACATCGAGTCTTACGTATTCTCATTACTCGATGTCATCGAGTAATGAGATACGTAAGTCCGCACAGAACACACAAGAGACAATGAAACGGCCATACTGTCGTGCGATAATTTCATATCTGACCTGATTTCTTACGTTTTCAAAATAGCATTATTAATGACTAAGTATGACCCCATATCGAAAAATCAGCACTACTTACTTGTGGGCGGAATTTACCGGAGGGTTATGGCTTTTTACCGGAGAGGTTACGTTTGAGGGGTACACATTTGGTATTGCAGTTTGAGCAGCCGGTATTGTTATCAGACCAAGTGCATCAAGAAGATGCAATACTACGAACGGCCTACAGCATGCGAGCTGCCGTACGTACATGTAGCTTTGTGTATTGTGCTATAGTACTGCCCCTCGCACCTTCTTACGCATAATGGATGTCACTTTTTGCCAGACTAGCTGGCTGCTTCGCCGTTTGCGTGCTTTAGCGGTCACTTCAGGAACAGCCAATACTCCTTCGCATCTGCGAAACACTGACACGGCCTCTTCAGCCGTGAGTGACCTGGTGTCGATGTGTAGCGTTACTGCTTGCTGCTCTACCAAGTTCATCAAGAACTTGAGGTCTGACAGTCGATTTTCTGCTTGTTGTCACTAAGATCCGCGTTCTTCAGTCGCCGATAAGGAGGAAGAGATCGTGATGGATCTCCACAACACAAAAGACCCAGGCTTGCTCAGCGGTTCCTTCAGGAAGGGTCATACCCTCCGGGAACGCATGAAAACCTCCGCCCCAGGTGTGTAACGGGAATGTAGCGTTGGTCGAGTGAGTACTGTCAGTGACCGCTTCGGGTTCAGCTTGTTCTTGTGGATCAGGATGTTGATGCAGGTATCCGCCCTCTTTAAGACAGTCTAGCACTGTAGTTGCGATTCGTGAGCAGCTCGGCGTACCCCGCTGATCTGCTGCTTCTTCTAAAACTAAGCGGACACCATCAATAACTTCCCGAGCTACATTCTTCTGCTCCAAGCGCTGTAACTCGACCGTGTTTTTTAAGAATTGAATTTCCGATAGTAAAACGACGTGCGGTGGAATACCAGTGGCGGTGACGGTCTCTTCACTGCTGGTCTCGCCACACACGACAAACGTCCTCAGATCTTGAATTCTCTGCTCGTTTCGCATCAGTGGTGCTTGAAAAAGCGGGTGTTCTTCAGGAAGGTGCTCTTTCAAGTACGCGTAGTGATATATAATAGAAGCTAGAGCATATTCGGCGATTAGAGTGACGTTCCGGGGTAAACCACGAAAACAAATTCGTTTAGCCACCTCAACTTGATCTCGCCCACCTTTAAATCTGGGTGGAAGAGTTGCAAAGTCAGCTTTTAGTATCGGCAAGCCAGAAACTGTGCGGCCAACAAACATATCGCCAGCCGAATCGTGTCGTAAATATCGGTCTTGGACACCACCAAGAGCCCATCCAGCCCTTAGGTGCACTGCTATTGCTGGTGGACATGCTGTTGAGCCCGAAGAGCAATAGGTTGCAGCACCTTTCCTCATAGAATGAGTACCAATGTCATCACACCGTACGCCAACGCGCTCCAACTCGTTTGCCAGGCCAGGAGTCTCTAGTGCTCGTCGAAGTGTCTTCCGGAAGCGGTCGTATTGGTCGTTGCCTGGAAATACTTGATTCGCGTTTGAATCAACGCCGTACACCATCCAGTACAGTCCTATAACGAGGTAGATTGTAGCTATTAGAACTGAGACCAAATCACATCTACTACATAATGTGCTGTGTACATACCTAGCGCGAGAATTGGGCAAACTTCAGGCATCAGTGGGTTTGCGTAGATGTGCCGGGGATCTCGAGGGCGTGTGCCACGCTGGTCGTTTTTCATATGCGCAAAGAAGACTTTAAGTGCGTCCTCTCCCCACTCCATGTGGTTGTAGCAAAGCGATACAGTGTTGGCAGAACGAGACATCAAATTCCATGATAGTACAAGAAACGCTCGCGCAAATACCATCTCCCGCGAGGTCGACCTCATCATTTCCATGGCAACACTACGATATAGACCGAATGTCATTGGATCCTTTCCAACTTTGATAGGACCATCTCCACTGCCAATAGCACTTGCTATTCGATGCTGAAGACCCTTGAAATGGCAGCTCAACTCACGTTCTAGCTGAGTTGACATGGTATAGTGATAATCACGAAAAAGATTGTATAGTGCTGAGCGATGGCCAGCATACGTTGAAAATGAATGATATCCTCCGTCTTTGTTCTTCATTGATAGAATCCAAGAGAGAAAGTGTTGTGCCTGTACAGCGCGAAAGTCCAGCGGGGGATTGTCTGGTGCGGAAGACAGCGCGGCCAGAATTGAGTCTTTGGTTGGGTCTCCACTGCAGTCAAATTGGAGCGATTCGCGAAACGCTGTAGGGACCAGCGATGCTTTGTGCCGCACAATCCAAGTCAGCATCCGAACTGTAGAGTTTAGATAGCTGGTACGTGATTTTGAGGCTATTGTGCTTGCCCTGGTAAGGGCAACTTCTTCATCTAGCTCCGTAAGATTGGTGTCCATCTGCAAAACGTAGTGTGACCTTTCAAGATTTATCACCGGCAATTTCTCCGGTAATATCTGCTATTGAATCACTTATCAACTTAAACTTGACTTTTGTATAGTGGTGGTTGGACAACTTGGAAAATACCGGCAGCCCGTCCGGTAGATCTATACTCAGCTCCCTTCCGGCTCCGGTATTTTCCAGGCAATTGCATTTGAGCGAAAAGGGCTACCGATACAGTGGAATATGTGTCCTTATCTGACGGAGTATTCACTTTTATTTCTCAACGATAATAAGTTCAGGGTCATTTCTAACGGAATCAGGGGCGGAGCATGATCTGAAATCGACGAATTTGATAGGTTGCCAAAATCCTGGCGCCACAATTGGTATTGAACCAATATATGTATACTGTATTGGTCAATATTGTTTTATTGGTTAAATACTTATGGGAAATGTTTCATCAATATAATAGCAACTACAATTAAAAAAATCGAAAAATACAATACTGGCATTGTATTGGTGTCGCCAATACTGCAATCAATTTATTCAATTATTCAATAATTGCTTGCACAACAATAGTGGCAAGCATGCAGTGCTCGGAAAATACAATAGCTTATTGAATTGACCTATAATAAGCTCACGTAATAGTTAACACAATATACCCGAAGACAATAGATAATCATTGTCAAATACAAAATGTATTGACGACACCATCCGTAGTGTTAGTGCATCTGCCTGTAGACATCACAAAGAGTCCCAGTATCCCAGTTGCTGCGGTTAGTACGAAGGAAAAGCAGCATCTCCATATTTACCGGCAGCAGGGATAAGCGCTGCGGGGTTAGGACTAGCTTTGCTTGTGAGAACAAGCGCTCCACGCGATTGCTCGACGGCGGGGTCTTCTGCAGAAGCTCCAAGTACACTTCAGCCGCCGGAGCAGCTGCTCCTGCCTTCCAGGAGCGCAAGACAGCAGTGGCGAAGTCTGCTTGGCAGTGACTTGCGCTTGGTGCCGGTGACTGGCGCTTTCTCAAAAGCCTTAATGGCGTCACGCTCTCCAGTGGATAAGCGGCTGCCCCCTTTAATAACCTAAAGTATCAATTCGCAAAATTAATACGGAGAAAACAGCAAAATAAAAACAAAGTACTAACCTTCACTACAGCGGCTTCGAACACTGGTGAGTGCACAACGTTGGCCGACGCATTAAGTTGAGGCTTCAACGACGGGTAGCGCTGAACTATAGAGTCCAACAATGCGCGCACGTCCGCGAGAGATATCCCTTTGTAGCTTGATTGTGACGTTATTGAAGACCCGTAGATCCGCAAGAAGGGCCTCGATGCGTCGGTGCACGGCTGTATTAGGGATCAAATCGAAGACGGCATCAACCTTCTTGATCTCGTCTCGGGTACGCACGTACCTAGCGAGCATGTCGAACACGGAGCTCCAGCGCGTCGCAGTGGGGAGAGGTCAGTGTGCTCCCGCAGAGCAGCGCGGTTGTTGGTATGGCAAAGCACCAGCATCAAGTCGCTCACCGTGGCCACCGTTGACTTGTGACCCTCAAGGAGTGCGTTAAGGCCCTTGTTCAGGTGGAGAACGTGCTCCTGCGTGATAGTAGATTAGGGTTAAAACAATCTTGACTAGACGAGAGCCCACGGCTCGGCACGGTGTGCCTCGAGCTGTCCAAGTGCAAACTTCCGCTTGCCTCATCTGACTGGTCACAAGCAGTTTCCATCCGATGCCACCAGACTTGCCAGTCCGCGAATTGCACCCGAGTCTCCTCGCAAGTCTTGGCTTGTGGCCCAATGCTGCTAGTCTCGGCGCCAATGGTGTCGGGAAACCCGGCCGTAGCGTAGAAGCCATCTTCAACAGCTGCCAGCTCCTCTGCTGGCGGCATGAAGATCATAGATTTTGCCATGGCGCTGAGCACGTCCTGGGTCTTGTTAATGTAGGCTACGCTACGAGGCCTGGAGATGCCCAACGCCGTTGCAGCCTGGTCCATGGTGCCACCCTTGACCAGGTAGAGCATCGTGAGCGCCACGCGCTTAATGACGGGGTTTTTGGTGTTGGTACCGGGCTCACGGCCCCACGCAGCGTGCACTAACAGCATACGTTGGAACGACTTCTTGTTACACCGAAGTTTGTCGTGGAACCAACCTGTTCCCGGGGTGCGGAGAGCTGTCTCGAATGCTCGAGTGTTAAACGTCTTGGGGGCTTTGGGTGGCCGTCGTAAACCGCGCTTATCTACTGTGGCGATGACAGCGCTCACGCTTGCAGCAGCTACTACTACTGCTAAAATGGCAGCCGTGACGTCGTCCATGGCACAAATGTGCTGAGGCCAGAACACCTGCTCGAGAAGTTCCCAGAACAAGTGGTTTAGAACGTCAATTTTCTAAGTGGTACATTGTACCGATTAATTTTCAGCCAATAAAATCCTAGGCAATTTTTCTGTTCAGAACGCGTTCTCCACTTGAACAAGGACCTAACGGCCAAATTAAAACGATGAGACGTACAGCCAATCAGAGAGACCCGAAGTAGTGTCGCAGTCGCACGGTTTGTTGAGCAATTGTCGCCAATTAAAAACGTCAAGGACGTCTCTGATTGATCAAAAAGAGCTATGATCTTCTTCATGTACTCGCAATGCGATTGGGCCGTTTGGTCCCCTTCCTCCATCGGTGCGGTTGCCAAGAGCGGTTGCTTCAGCTCACCGGCGCCCCAGCAAACGGCGTACAGGGCAACAAAATGTCGTGGTTTCACGTCCAACCATCAAACATCAGGCCGAACAGTCTAAAAAAAACAATCTCGGCACTGATCTTCTTCTCGACAGCCAGCGCGGTCGCGCAGAGGTAGGTCTTCAGTGTCTTGGAACATATGGGAACAGATAGGGTCCAGCTTGGACATTGCTCTTGCGAGTGGATTGTCGACCTCACTTAGGCCCGTTCCCAACCGAAGTGTCTCTCTGACGCATGCGTCCCCTACCCACTCACTTCGGTTGGGAATGAATTCTTGGAAAGAGAACGTTTCATGATTGGACAAAATTATGTTTCTGCGAACCAATCAATGAGCGATATTTCGGGATTCGTAGATTCGTGCCATCTACAGCTATGGAGCCAGACGTCCCCATTGCTCGCCGTCTAGACCCGGAGCTAATAGATGCAGCGAGCCCACCACCTGCCCAGCTCTCTTCCCAAGCAAATTCCCTTGGCGATCATGATCATCTAGCCGTTTCCAGCGCCGCTGTTTATGCAGACCCCACAGCAAACTGCCTTGTCGGCGCTTCCTCTAGACAGTGGAACACTGCCGTGCAAGAAGATGCTGCACCTGCTACTCGTATCCCCTCCATTCGTAGTGGCACCATAGTGGAGGGGCACTACGCTTGGGAGCCGTACGAGGATAAGACGCAGGACCTCATTCGGAAGGAATGTAGTCTTCGTCAAATCAAGCTTAATACGAAAACGAAGAAGACGGATCGTATTACGTGTCTTCGTCCTTTTACAGCATTTGTGCGGCAAACTTTCGCTTATCTGGAACACACGAACGGGAGTTTAAGTAGTTTGTGCAAGGCAAGATGGATGTACTGTACCTATGGTACTGGTTGAAGGTAAGTCTAGTTACGGAGCCTAGTGTACCGACATTCTACTTACAGCCATTTTACTTCCTTAACAGGAGCGACCGGAGGCCCTTAACAGTGCCCGAGGCGGATTGTTCAAGGAGGACGAATTCGATATACTTTCGTCCTCGACTCCGACACGTGAGCGCAGAAGTGCTACGCCCAGCAAACGCAGTTCAACGAAAAAAGGTCGAGTGAGAGCGTTTCCACGAAACCAACTCCGAACAAGAAGCCCAGAACGAATTCCGACTCAATGGACGTGAAGTTGCTTGAAAATGACCAAGCAAAGAAGCAGTCCAGACAGCTCATCTTCTGCTTTCCAGCAGCGCCGGCGACGCGAAGCAGGGACACCGCTCTTCTGTGCAGAAAACAGAGAGAGAGAGAGAGAGAGAGAGAG